CCCCAAGAGGCATATGCTGGCGAATGGAGCTGAGGGTTTTGCAGAAGAGACTGCCCTGTCGGTGAGAGAGGACTTGACTGTCACCCCCAGACACAGGGGATGGAGTCCCAGGGGAGAAAGGAGGGGGGAGCCCTGTGTCTGCCAGCTTCCTGCAGACCGTTGCATTCAGAGCTCGTCACCCTGCGATTCTAGCGCCTTCCTTCCCTTCACAAGCTCCATGGTCCTTCGTACTGTTCCTCATACAACACGCTCCCATCTCGCATCTCCACGTCTTTGCACTGGCTTTCCTCCGTGCCGGGAACGACCTCTCTTCTCACCCCCAACTCTTGAAACTTCTGCTTTCCTTCAAGACTCAACTCGAGTGTTACATCGTATCTTCCCTGAAGAAAATTATTACATTGTATCTATTTTGTGTACACCTGCACACACCTAGGTGCGTGTGTCCCCTCAGTGGAGTGCGGACTGTCTATTTCACTTTGGTCTTTGTGACCCCAGTGACTAGTGCAGGTGATTCCATTAATTCTTAATTGCAACATTTAGCAAACGTAAGGCATAATTGTAACCTGCCATCCACCCATAAATCTGGGGCACACTCTCCCTCCATTGTAGACAGGGTGGGCACAGCCTGGCCCAGAGAGGGAGCCCCGGGGCCCAGGGCCACCCCCCATTCTGAAACGTCGAGCGTTGGTGACCACTTTCTTTCCTCAGGAATAGAAAGCTCACTCCCTGACAAGTGGGTCTTAGATGTGTGGCTCCGCCACCAGGCAGGGCTGCTGCCAGCATCATGGGATTGTCACAGCGCGCCATCTTAGCTGGTTTTTGCTGGCTGCTCTGCTCCTCTGCTGGATTGGACAGCGCCTCTTTACTGCCAGAGAGGGCGCTGTTGTGCTCTTTCACCTGGGGTAGAGCCCCTTACCCTGGGTTTTGCTGAGCTCTGGTTCTCTGCCATTGACTAGGTGGTAAAGGGTTTCAGCCTCCCAGGCCACAGGTGACAGTGCAGAGAAAGGCAATACCTTTTTGCCACAGATCAGCTCCGAAGTCTTTTTTAGATCAATTTATTGGTCCAAAGTGCAGGATCCTTTCCGGGAGAGATCCCACTCCCAGCTCAAAACAATTAAAATCTCCCTTCCGTCTGCCAAGCCATAACCAGGCAGCGTCCACTCCCTACCAGTGTGAGCTTAGCCACGTTGCTCGACATCTAGAGGCCTCAGTTTCCTCAGCTATAAAATGGGGAGATTGAACTCAGTGACCATTAAGGTCCCTTCCAATTCTGAATCTTTCATCTTGTGTCTTAAGGAAGAAATGTGTCACAAAGGTAACCCAACATTGGAAAATTTCTAAAAATAACAGTATTAAGGGGATGGCTGGGGCTGAGGAGAGGAGTGGAAGAGACGTAAATCTTAACCTAGGAGATAATGAGGAAAATAAAAATCTGTATTTTGATTTTGGAAGCGTCATCAAGCGTTGGAACTAGGGCAAGGTGCTTTGGCATGCCTGAGGAGGATTCATCCAGATAAAACACGAAAAACCAAGAGCCAGGCCATTTGTCAGAGATACAAAGAAAACCAGAAATGCTGAAAAGCATTTCTTCTTTAAATACTTGGGTATTTTAAGAGAAGGATGAAAGAAGTGGTTGCCCTTTTATGAGATAGAAAAAGAAAACAGATGATAGCAAGAAGACAGAAGCTTTTAAACATTTTTATTAACCAAGTCATGTAAAAATCTTCTGTTAACCAATCACTTCAGTAACAAAACATTGACATGGAAGACAAAAAACACGCACAGAAATGTGTATCTTTGGTTAAAGTTACCAAAGCTACTGACCGCGGTCATTCAGGGGCATCCTAAAGTCCTTGGGAAGTTAGATATGTGAACAAGTAATTATGTTTATGGCTCACCCTTCCGTTGAACTTTAAGATTTGAAAAGTGCTTTAGGGGCAGCTGGGTGGCACCGTGGATAGAGCACCAGCCCTGAAGTCAGGAAGACATGGATTCAAATCTGGCCTCGAACCAAACACTTGACACTTGCTAGCTGGGTGACCCTGGGCAAGTCACTTAAGCCCTGATTGCCTCAAAAAAAGAGAAAAAAGAAATATATTGGAGATAATCTCAGAGGAAAGACACTAAGATTAAGGGAGGTAGAGGAAGACTTCTTAGGATATTCTGCTGATTCATTTCATTACCCCACCACTAGTGACACCCTCACCACCCCCCCCATTACTTTATGTGGATTTAATATGTCTTTATTTATAGATGTGTTGTTTCCCCCTCATAGAATGTAAGCACCTTGAGGGCAAGGAGTATGTCTCCCTGGTTTCTATGTCCTCAGCATTGAGTAGAGCACCCAGCACCAGGAATAGATGCCTGATGAATGGACTCATCTTACGCTGTATTTTGAGATCTTGTGCTGCGAGGATATGACTCTCTCTGCCCTTAAAAGGCTCGCAGTATGTCCTGCACTCTTACGTAAATAGGAGGGTTTTCAGTAGCCATTTATATATTACCATTCATAACAGGAAGGCCCTTGGGGTGGGGGCAGGGCAGGGAGAAAACACCTTGGCGGAGCAGTGGAGTCAGGAAGACCCGAGTTCAAATCCAGCCTCAGAAGCATAGTAGCTGTGTGGGTTGGTCATTCTTAACCACAGTTGGCCATGGTTTCCTCAGCTGTAAAATGGAGATGGTCATGACAGTACCTACCTCACAGGGTTATTATGGAGATTAAGTGAGATAATGTGTGTGAAGTACTTCGCACAGTGCCTGCACATAGTAGGTGCTATAAAGCACTTAGGACTGTGCCTAGCACATAGTAGGTGCTATACAAATGTCCGCTATTATCATTATATATTTTAATACACAATCGTTTCGGGACAGGCCCAGCATCCTTCATGAAGGGCCTTCTAAGTCAGGCACACATCAAATTGCCCGGCACCTAATGGGAACAGATGTCTCTGTGGCCCTCTAACATTTGCATGCTTTGCCCAGCTCACCTCACTGACCCTCCCTCAGAAAAGCTCAGAGAAATATTGCTAACACAGGTACAAGCTTAACAGTTCTGAAGAAGTAGACTTTAGCCTTTGCCAGAACAGCGTGTACCATTCCATGGTCCTGACTAGGTGCAGGCTGGCCGAGAGGTCCGTCCTCCCCACAGGCTCTCCTGCCTTTCAGCTGCTCGTCGGCTTTGGTTTTCTACCTTGTCTGTCCATCAGCTTGTTTGACTGTGAGCTCATTGTGAGCAGGGAATAGTTTTGTCTTTCTTTGTGTTCCCAGCACTTAGCACAGTGCGTAGCGCACAGTAGGTGCTTCGTAAGCGCTGGTAGGCTGACGGCAGTGCACCCTGCGTCGGCCTGGTACAGCTTGGTGAGCACCAGGGGTGTGGAGGCTGAGCATCCGGGCTCAGATCCCCGCTGTGCCATTTTCTCCCGGGGGCCTCAGACGAGTCCCTTCTCTTGGGGGCTCCCATTTGTCGGATGTGGGGCTGGACCAGATCCTTTCCAAGACCCCTCCCTTTGTGCTCTGAATCCTTTCACCTTTAGGGAGGCAAAGATAATAGAATCTCTGGATGACTGAGTAACGGTGGGAATATCTGAAGGGAGAGTAAAAGGCCCACTGGCATCGCTTGTGGGTCCTTGTGGGAAGGCTTTGAGTAAAGAGGGATTCCCAGTTTCTTTTGAATCTCATTGATTGAAGAAAATTCAGTCCTTCTGGGCTACCTTCCTCTGGATGGGCTGAGGAAATGGCATTGGGGGAGGGAGGTACAGGACAGGCCCACCTAGGTTGAATTATGTTGTTTACTGAACAATTTAACAAGGTCTCACGTGGCATGGTGATTATAGTTGACCAGGCCGGGATCAGAAGAACCTGGGTTCAAATTCCACCACCTTAATAGATGAGTGACCCTGGGTAAGTGACTTCCTGTCTCTCAGCCCAGTCTCTTTATCTGTAAAATGGAGGGAATAGTACCTTTGGTACTTAGGTAACTGGATTGTTGGGAGGCTAAATGAGGGTATCTTATCTATGGGAAATGCTTACATAAATGCTAAGCTAACTAACAGTGTGTGTGTGTGTGTGTGTGTGTGTGTGTGTGTGTGTGTGTGTACAAACATATATATGTATATACACACACATACACACATATATATACACATACATATATGTTATATATGTATGTATGTATATATATGCAAAGCAAGACGATGCAAAATGGTTTCTCAGAAGCCTACAAGATCTGAGGTAGAGAAGATGGGAGATCTTAGCACATCAAATATCTGTTTGAAATCTAAGCAGGACTGTCTGTTAATATCATGATCAAATCTGCTTTTGAATTAGATCGCTGACATATATTAGATACCACTTTAAAATTACCCCATAGCAAGTCAATAAATCAGGGCTACCATCTTTAAATTTAATAGCTGACTTATTAACAAAAATTGAGTATTAATGTTAAAGTCAACATATTTACTGCCCTTTTCAGTAAGATGCTGTTCATTATTCATTACCCAATTACTTTTGCAATAAAAGGGGGAGTTATGACTTGTTTTGGTAGCGTCTGTTATTAAATTAATGATGTGTTTCAAATAAATGTTTTGGCCTAAATGTTTTAGTTGAGAAACATATCTGTAAAATTTTGCGCTTTGCCTTATCCCATGCAATAGACCGGCTGTAATATGAGCGTGAAGTTTCCCTGGCTTTTTTGTTGCTGGACAATAACGTGGGATTGTTATGTGATCGCACCCAGAGAGGGGCAGCTATCGAATCATGTACTTGGATTAATTAAGCAATAGCCCATGAAAGATGTGCTGTTACCAGCGGGTGATGACTAGTTTGTTAGTTAATGACCCGAGCAAAAGTCAGGCTGAGCTAAGCGCTAAGAAGGCAGCCATTAACTGCAGGAAGGATGAATTTTGCGGATGATAATTGCCGTATTAAATGGAGTTTGGCATTTTATTTCAGGCTGTTTTCAAAACATAGCAGTTTTTAAAATATCCCACCACAAGCATTTCCAAAATGGTTTGGCCAGCATGCTGGATACCCTGCCTGCATCCTTTATAATTATGCAGTAAAAATACCCAGGCTAAATTAGTTGTTACCAGTAATTAATGGCCAGCTTAATAAAGAAGATGGGAAAGCAGCAGACGGCAGGTTTTGTAGTTGTAGTTATTTTGTTTTAATGGGATGTGCATGAAGGGACCGTCCCTGCTGCAGGGACTTCACCAGACTGCAGCTCAGAGGGCTGGGGGCTGCCTTGCTTCTCCTCCAGTGACACTCCCTGCGTGGCGTGTCAGGGGCACCTTGGCTGTCGTCAGAAATACCACATGTCCTACAGGCGGGCCGGGCAGATTGTCAGATTTATTCCTCTGATCGCGTCTTGTCCACTGTTCTAGCTGAGGTCTTCAGAGAGTAAACTAGAGCCCTGCGTGCGTAGGCATATTAGGGTCTGAATGGGGTATTTGGCCATCTTCTGTGAAATAAGAAAGATAAAACGTTTTCCCAAAACATGGAAATAAAACTTGAACGGCATCCAGTGCTTTGAAGGAAAATGTGTGTGTGTGTGTGTGTGTGTGTGTGTGTGTGTGTGTGTGTGTGTGTGCGCTCCCGCGCACAAGTGCATCTTTGAGGATCGGTGACTTTGTGGCTGTGAATTGTCCCTCTGCCGTGGCACATTGCAGCCCTTTATATCTCAGGCAAAGGTCCAGATAAGTTGCTTTGGATACCAAATCCATCAGCCTGTGCGACCCTTCTGAGGAGGAGCCTACTTCCAACCTAGATTAGCATCGCGGGCCACTGGGTCCATCTTGGGGGGACCGTCTAGACCATGTGCTCCCTGGCCTGGCCTCAGAGAACCTGGGTAAAAGGCACAGAGCCTTGTGCCAGTGTGAGCCTCTAAGTGTCAAAGAAGATCGCAATCTGCACCGGTGGAAGGAGTGTCTTCATCTGGGACTGATCCTGGACCAAGGGCCCCTCAGTTCGGGAAGGCTCAGGAGCCACAATTCAGATGCCGCCTCTTCTCCTTCCTGCCCATGCAGGGGGAGGCAAGTCCCTTCACCTCTCCACTCCCTCTTCTACAAATTGAAATGGGTGATAGCTGCGGGACCTCCATCTTGGAGCTATCGGGTGGGGCAGGGGTGGTCAGGGTGGTGAAACCCAGGGTGTCCCAAAGTCTTAGTGCATGTTAAGACCGCAGCCGGGAGGCTCCTCGTGGGGATCCCCCGTGTGTGTAAAGGGCTTTGCAGACTTCCATCTTCACGTCCCCTGTTAGGTATCCCCAGCGAGGGAGGCTGGAGGAGAGGGGAGAGAGAGAGAGAGGGGAAACGGGTCAGGAACAAGCAGCTGAGGATAAAAGACAGGAGCCATCTCATCTGAGCCTCACAGCACTGTGACGATGCCTTCTAACCCCATTTTACAGATAAGGAAACTGAGGCACAGAGGTGGCATTAACTCGCCCAGAGTCACACAGCTAATTAATAAATCCTCGGGCTTTTGTTTGGTTTTAGCAATATTTTATTTTCCCCGTTGCATGTAAAACAGTTTTTAGCATTCCTTTTTTGAAATTCTCTTCCTCCCTTCCCCTTCATCGAGATGGTAAGCAGAATAAGTCTTTGTTGCTGAGCACTGAGGTGGGACCCAAACCCCGGTCGGCCTCGCTCCACCCCCTCTGCTGCCCACGCCTCAGAGCTCAGTTTCCCTACTAACTTGCAGCCCCAGAACATGGATTAGAGACCCCCGTTTCCCTGTCTAAGGGGCAGCAAAGGCCGTGTCCTTCCTCAGGCCACAGAAGAAACTGAGAAGATGCACTCCGCACCCTCAGGACGCCGGGAATCGCTTTCCCGAGGAGTCTGGGTGCTGCTGGGCACCGGCCTGGGTCTGAGCTGGGGGGGAGGGGCTGCCAGAGTCCTGCTTTCGCAGTCCGCTCATTTAATCGTTAGACTGGTTGAAACCCATTTTCTCAGGCACATAAAAGCCTCCTGGGTCTGGCCACATCCTCTCAGGCCCCATAAACGTGAGCCTGCCCACCGCTAAGCCCCCGGCCACTTTATCCCATGCAAGCTCCTTCCCCATTCTCCTTTGTACTCTCCACGTTCCTGTTGTAAATGCCTGGCAAGCTGAACGGAGGCCAATTACTACTGGACTCTAAGCTCCAGGAGGGCAGGAAATGTCTGTGTCGTCTTGGGGTGTCCCCCAGCACCTAGTGCAGTGCGGGAATGAGTGAGGCAGACTCCGGAAGTTATATACTCCCTCCCAGCATGTGCTCATACACGCACACGTACACGTACGCACAAACACACACACACACACACACACACACACCCTCTGGCCCATGTCACAGAAGCCAAGGGTCTCATCCAGGCCACAGGGGCCCGGCCTGACCCTCTCAGCCCCCAATGACCAGCCTCTCAAGTGCAGAGGGAGCCTTCCAGGAATCTCTCTAGACAAAGGGAGGATCGTGACTAAGAAGGGAGAGGTTGGGGAGTGGAGTGGTCAGTCCTCTCTTTAGAGGTGTGGGTCACTGAACAACTGTCCCAGAAGGGGCCATTAAATTTAACAACTCTGAGGGGCGAACAGAGTGACGGAGGGCCTGGGAAATATATCTGGAACCAATAGTCACTGAGCCTTTTTGCTGACCATCTTCAGAGGGGGCTTTATTCTAATTAGGCCTAATAGATATCACTCATTGGGAGGTTTAGGTGGCCTCGAAGATGGAGCTCCACACAGGAGGCAGGAAGACATAAGTTCAAATCCAGCCTCAGACACTTACTAGCCGTGTGACCCTGGACAAGTCACTTAACCTGTTTGCCTCAGTTTCTATACCTGCAAAATGGGAATAATAATAATAGCCCCTATCTCCCAGGGCTGTCATAAGGATTACACAATAGATGTAAAGCACTTTACGCACCTTAAAGCCTGATGTAAGTGCTAGCTGTCAATAGTACTCCGTATTTGCATGCACACATGTATGCACATACAAACGCAGAGTGTCTTTGTGGGGGACATCCAGGCTCAGGCCTGGCATCTCTGCATCATATGAAGAAACTCCTAAGCTACCGTCATTTATCCATGTCTAGTCTGACAGAGTTTCCTGGGTCCCATTTCTTGCCTGGGCCCACAAACCAATGTGTGTTGGAGGAAGTACTTGAACCCAGGTCTTTCTGATTGTAGAGCCAATTATTGACCTAGTATGTGCGCCATGCTGCCTCGCGCTGAAGGGTTCATGGCACAGTCATCTCCCTGGCTTTGAAGGCTGGCACCTTTCATCCTCCAAAGTGCCTCTGTATGGGGGGTGGAGGCGCAGGGGGGTGATCACGGATGGGGGGCCAGGGTGAAAGCCATGGCATCTTGGAGTCTTAGCAGAAATGGCCCTAGAATAAGGAGACATCTGAAAACTGGGGGGCACAGTGTCTCAGGTTTGCTACTGACTGGCTGTGTGATCTCGGGCACAAAACATAGTTTTTCTCTGCCTTAGTTTTCTCATCTGCAGATGACTGGTTTGCACTTTTAACTTTCATTTTAATGGACAACCCTGGTATTTTGCTGTTATGGTTAATGCATTTAATTTCCCAGCTGAAAAGAGAATAGAAAACATTTCCAAAACTTGCGTTTTAAGTCCAATTTATTATTATTCTCCTACTATTTTATTTATTATATACTATTATCACCTTACTTTATTGTACACAAAGGGAAAAATAAAAGCTGGAAATATGCATTTCTCAGGAAATTTCTAATTCTTTTCAGTGACAAATTTGATCTTAATTATTTTTCTATTCTTTTTCCTTAATATTTCCTTTACCACTGGGATTTTTATAAATATCAGGGTCAGATTCCAAGCTGGCTAATGCTGGCCACAGAAGAGTTGCTTAAATAATTTATCTTCTCCCCTCCCCCCACCCCAATCCAAGGAAATAAATTGTGGAACAAAGGCTGACCTCCCTTATCGCCTTGTTCAGGCCTCTCCTAGTCTCCCTCCATTGACTGAGCTGGGGAAGAAATGTCCTTTGAAGTCAGTGGGAGGCCCGAGTGCCCATCACTTCTGCAGGATGTAGGGCCATAGAGGAAAGGCACTCAGAGTTTTTCTCACCCCGTCCCACAAAAACACCATCTGAACAGTGTTTGTTCAGATTCCCTCCTAAAGAGAAATCCCTCAGAGCACAATAGTGTGCAATGTCTACTTCCAGGAGGATGAGTAGCTGTAGACATTTTCTCATTTGCTGTGTGTGGTGTAAATAGTATAGTAAAAAAAAAAAAAAGGCCAGATAATTTCCTGGTTCATTCTTCCTCAGCCCCCAGAAGTGGAAAACCAGGCTTAAAAGAAAAGCCTCCTCCGGGAAGGACCAGGCAGCCCGGCTTATTTCACTGGGCGCTGGGAGAGTTTTGTATGGGAGATGTCGGCGGACAGTTTTAAATGGAACTGGAAGAGTATCTCACCTACATTGTCGGGTCTTGCCCTGTCTTGTGCATTCAAAACAATATTCCAGGGTTTGGAATGGCTTGTTTCTCATGTACCAGATCTATAAAGAAAACCCCTTTCACAAAGTCAGGTGGGAAACACAGATTCTGTGTCTTTTTCCCCCCATCCAGATGTATGTCCCTGGGTTTTCTAGGACAATCCCACTTTCGCGAGAAGAAGGCACATTTTTTTATGAGGCGTCACAAAAACAGTATGTTTTGTCAGGCCACTGTGAGTCCCAGTTTGGAGGTCGGAAATAGGGTCGCTGTATACTTAGTAGACAAATATTTGGAAAATGAATGAATGTTTGTGTACGCCTCGTGACAGAAGGTATATTCTGAGTCATGCCTCAGTGTGCTAGTTTGTGGAATGTTCAGGTAGGAAAAGAAATTCACATTTCATGTTGGATTGGGTTCTTTTTAAATAATTAACATTTAATTTTTTTTTATTTTTCTCCTATCTCTCTGCTTGCTCCTTCTCTGTCTCCATCATACCTACATTTTTAACGGCCTGCTTAATATCTCCATATGGATATTCTACTGGTACCTCAGATTCAACATGTCCAGAATGCAATTTCCTCCCTGTCCAAAAGGAAAAAAAAAGAAAGAAAAGAAAGGAAAATAGCTTGTCCTCCTGAATTTCTTACTTCTGTTAAGGACATCCACCATTCTTCCAGCCAGCCAGTCTGGAATTTGCCAATACTGTGAGTCAGGTGGACTGTGTAGGTCCTGTAGGAAGGTGGGACCCACAGAAGGGGAATGTTGCCCCTGATAACCCCACCTTCTTCTCCCTTGTGAGGAAGGCTCTTCCATGGTGACAGCATAAGTCTAGAGGTTGGTATGGGCTCCTTGAAAAGAAAGGGGCTGGGGGGCAGCTAGGTGGCACAGTAGATAGAGCACTGGTCCTGGAGTCAGGAGGACCTGAGTTCAAATCTGGCCTGAGACAGATAACACTCACTAGCTGTGTGACTCTGGACAAGTCATTTAACCCCAGTTGCAAAAGAAAGGAAAGAAAGAAAGAAAGAAAGAAAGAAAGAAAGAAAGAAAGAAAGAAAGAAAGAAAGAAAGAAAGAAAGAAAGAAAGAAAGAGAGAGAGAGTAGAACAGGAAAGGGAGTTCACTTTGATTGTGGCTACAGTGCAAGTCCCTTGTGATTTCTGTCAGGTTAAATAAAAACACGTCTTGGATTCGATGTTTTGTTAGTGCTTGTGTGAGAGATGAGAGCCCCTCATGGACACAAGCCATGTGTCTGGACTTTCCCAGGGAAGACCCCAGGGAGGACAAGAAAGCTGTTGTCCATAGAAATGAAAGTTTTCTTAGAGGCGTCCCCAAGGCTGAACTCAAGGTCAGATGAGTCCAGACTGCATTTCTTCCTCAAGCTGAGCCGAGGTTACCTTCGAGTCTTCCTTTTATCTTATTCCTGCCATCCAATAAGTAATCGGTCCCTGCTGAGTCTCGTGGCTTCCCTGGCCAGCATCCGTGGTTAGGCTCACTACTTCTCACCTCGAGCACCACTGCTCCATCCTAACCCATCTCCTGTATTCCCGTCAGTCCTAAAGCTCAGGCCTGATCGCGCCCTTTGCCCCCGGCACCCTCTCTCCAATTGGAGGACAGAGGGCTTCTCTCAGAACCTGCCAGAAGGAGGGTACCCAGCCAGCCGTGTCTTCCCTTCCCTCCTGGATGCCTTCCTGTGGCTAGACGTCTCCATCACTCCTCTGCGCCGGGCGCTTTCTCCCCCCGCACCCAGCCTCTTCGGGGCAGAGACTGCCTTTTGCGTTTTGTATTTCCAAAGCTCACACAGTGCCTGGCACATGGGAAGCACTTAATAAACGTGTGCTGACTGACTGACCAGTCTTTCTGTCCATCCCCAATCTGCCCTCCACAGCCTGAACAATCTTCCTCATTTTAGCTCTGGTCAGGCTCTGACCTCTGCTTGGATTCCTCAGATGATGGAAAACTTACTACCTACTAAGGAGCCAGTTCCAGTTTGGAGTAGTTTTGGCCCAAAAGCTGCCTCCCTCTAGATAACATCCACCCATCCTTCCATCCACATTGGGTCTGCATTAGTCCTCTCTGCTTCTAGGGACAAGGAGAGCAAATCTAATCCTTCCCAATAGAATTTTAGGTATTCAAGGTTAAGTGACTTGCCCAGGGTCACTAAGGCCAGATTTGAACTCGGGTCCTCCTGACTTCAGGGCCAGTGCTCTATGTGGTGCACCACCTAGCTGCCCCAAGCATGAACTTCCAGATATTTAGATACTGTGCTCAGGTCTCCCATCACCACGTCCTCCTCCTGCGGCCTTCCCCGGTCTTTTGTAATTCTAGTGCCTTCCCTCTGTTAATTATTTCCCATTTTTCCTGTATGTAGCTTGCTTTGTACATATCTGTTTGCATGGTGACTCCCCATTTAGAGTGTAAGCTCCGGGAGGGAGCTTTTTGTATTCCTTAGCAAGGTGCCTAGCACATAGTAGGGGCTTAGTGTTGATGAACTGATTGATTGGCATATGGCCCGGGCCCTCACTTCCCAGTCTCCCCTGCCCCTTGTCAGGGTCACTGGATAATGCCAGTAACTGGACAGAGAGCTCATAGGCAGGAGGGGAAGCTCTCTCCCTCTGGTGCCGGAGCTCACTGCCAAGCTCACAGCTTGGCATCAGGTTGGCTAGACCTGGAGACGGCAGCAGTCCTTGGGTTTGTAACTTCTCCCTGACACTGGGCAGCTTTCCTTGGGCAAACTACCTTCAAGCTGTGCTGCTGCCTCTCTGCCTACCTAGCATGCATGTCACCTGCAGGGCCTCCCCTAAGGCCACATAAAAAGGAGCTTTTCTTCCCAGATTGGGGGGATGACAAAGATCAGGGCTCTCCTCTGTAATCAGGAGCTGCTGGGGTTTTATAGCATCCACTTTATGTTTTCCCGTGGGCATGTGCCTCGTTTCCGGGGGCATAATAAGGCAGCAGAGAGGCAGTGTGAGGCAGGGCCAGTGTCTGCTTCCCGGAGACACGGAGGGGGGACAGTTGGGGGTTTGTTCTTCAGCATTTATTCAGAGCATAATTGGGCACCAGCATGGCCTGCGTGCATGCTAGAGGGGCCCGCTCGGGACAGCAGGAGAAGGAAAGCTTTGTGCTGGGAGCCCTCCGGCATCCAAACGCGCTGGCGGAGCCCAGAGAAAAGCAGGCTTGAAATGGGGTGGATTTACACACCTGCCCCGCACCCAGGACAGCTTCTGAGTGCTTCTGATTTGAGATGGTGGTCATTAGCCCTAGCTTTGGCCTCTCCATGAAGACCGTAGCTGGAGGCACAAGTCCACAAGACAGAGCCGGAGGGGACCCACTGCATCCTGGAAGTGAACCAGCTGCTTGTAAAGACTGCAGATCACTTTCGGTTGGGCATTGTGAATTAAATCTCTCTTTTCAGTAAAACAATCAGTTCAAGGGACTCCTCTCTACAGTCGAGTGTCATACTTGAAGGCATGTGATGGACTTGGAATTGGGAAGTCCTTGGTTCAAATCTTGCCTTGGATAACAAAATGTAACCTCCCTGAAGGCAGAGGGTGTTTATTTTGTCCCTGAATCCTGGCTACCAAGGACAGTACCCAACACAGCCCCAGCTCTGTCAGCACATCGTAGCCAACCTTTTTAGATCTTCAAGGCTTGGAGTACTTGACTTGTATTACCTCATGTGAACCTGGAATAATCCTATAAAGTAGGTACTATTACTGGCCCTATTTTACAGATAAGGAAACTGAGGCTGAAAAAGCTTATGTAACACACATGGAGCTTGGTGAGTGCCTGAGGCAGAATCTGCCTACAGACTTTAAAGTTTAAATATAAAAGTCTATCATTATTTGTTAGGAGGCAGTCTGGTATGGGGGAGAGGGTATTGGAGTCGGGAGAGACTTGAGTTCAAATTCTGCTCTTACTAGCTGTTACCATGGGTGGTGGTGGTGGTGGTGGTAGTAGTAGTAGTTGCTGTTTTAGTAGTAGTAACTATAGCACTTTAAGGTTTACTAAGTGCTTTATAAATATCTCATTTATTTTCACAACAACCTTGGCAGGGAGGTGTGACTACTATCCCCATTTTATCGAGAAGGAAACTGAGGTAAACAGAAGTTAAATGACTTGCCCAGGGTCACACAGCCCAGTATCTGAGGCCAGATTTAAACTCAAGCCTTCCTGACTCTCAGTTTGGCACTCTATCCACTAGCTGCCTGGGCAGTCATGGGGCAATACTTTTAACTGCTCTGTTCCTTGGTTTCCTTATCTGCAAAATGGGATTCATTTCATTTCTAAACTCACAGGTGAGTTGTGCAGCTCCAGTGAGCTAATCTGTGGAAAGTGCTGTATGTGTAAGTAACCATTATTCTAAGGCGCAGCTATTCCTGAAAATAGCAAAACCGTGTTTTTTTACAAATACTTGTAATGTCTGTGTGGAAAAGCCTGAGGATGAAAAGAAATGTGTGGGAAAAGCAGGGTCTGAGAATAAGATAAGCCAAAGACTTGTAAATTATACCAAAGTCTCACATCTGTATCATAAACACTTCTTTCAAGAAAAGAATGGGTAAACACTGGACATGATGAGCACAAAATAGCATTTTAATGGAACAAATTGTATTTTACATACGGGAAAAAATTTGTTATTGATGTGGGATTTTTCCCTGAATCAGCTGTCTGTGAACAGTCAGACTACTGACTTGTCAGAGCAAAGATCAGAATTAGTAACAAAAAAAAAAAAAGCTTGAAGAAAGAATTCTAATGAGAAAAAGACTCGGTCTACACTTGAAACAGCTCAGTACTAGAGTATTTGAACACATAAGTTGACAATGAAAAATGGGAAATGGACAACAGAAATGGCATCTCAACACCAATTATAATAATTTTATATAGAAGTTTACTTGATGTAACTGTTACTATAAGGAAACCAAAAGATTTCAAAAAGCACCCTAGTCAGCAAACATTTGATTTATTTGCTGAGTAGAGAGCGATGGTAGCCAAAGACAGTCCTGGTATAGAATATGAACAGATTTTGGAAAATCTTACCAAGAAGTATAATGGTTGATTGTGATCAGTATCAGCTCATGAAGCAGTGGAGGGTAAATTCAGTTTGAACAAAGCTTGACAAGAGATCTAACTGAACAGAATGATCCCAGGAGCATTTAAGGGTGAAAATGGAAAAAGGAGGACAAGCAGAAGAAAAATGGGAAAAGATCTGCCAAGAGTGTTCTAATTGTTTTTATCATCTAGGGCAATGGGATCACCACATTTAGATCTTAACAGTTCTGAATGTGATTATAGGAGTAGAATGTCACCTAAAAAAAAAAAAAGGCAGGGGCAGCTAGGTGGCGCAGTGGTTGGAGCACCAGCCCTGAAGTCAGGAGTACCTGAGTTCAAATCCGGCCTCAGACCAGACACTTGACACTTGGGCAAGTCACTTAACCCCAATTGCCTCAAAAAAAAAAGGCAGATAAATCAGTAAGATTGGGTGTGAGACTAGTGCCAGAGGCAACACGATTGTGAGAGCACAGAGGAATCACCATGCAAGGATTTGAAGGAGGAGTGCATACTAAAGGCCTGGAAAGAAATCCCAGATCTTACCAGTACTCCAAAAAGGCAACCAAGAGACATGAATGGTCACCGGCTCATAGACTTATTCTCCCATCTATACAAAATCTTGAAGACCTGCGTGAATAGAGGCCATCCCTTAATAGAGAAAAGGCCAACTCATCTTGTCTGTCCACCAGTGGACCTCATCTCTACCATTTTGCTATGGGCTAAATGATGTAGATGCCGTGCTTATCCATTGTTGATTATAAAAAAGTATTTAGTTCAATAGAACACAACTCTGCCCTTCAGGGATGTTTTCCATCCATCCAAGTCATTCAAGATAACATATTACACTCTTCAACAACCCCCGGTCATAAACACCAAGTGAATCATATGCTTGCCAAATGTGCTTACCGCTGGGATGAGGAAGACCCAGCCCGGAGCCTAGGCTGAAGAGGGCTTCCCTGGGGATGGGGGGTGGGGGGTCCTCCAGTGCTCCTGCTTGGGTGGCGTTGGGCCGCTTTAGGGAGCTTCCTGGAAGGGATCTGTAACCCGTGAGAATCGCACGGCCCCAAGACAGAGTGGTTGAAGAGCGCCTTTTGTCCCGATGACGATAGACGTTTGAGCCTTCTATGAGTCGGTATGTCTGGGACAGACAGTTTGGGCCCAGAGTTGAAAAGGAGGAGAGGGCCTTAGATTTCCTTTGGAAAATTTGCAGAGCTGTTTTGGTGATCTCAAGCTTCCCATGGAAACAAGGGCCCGTCTATTTAATATTGATGTTCCGCCAGTGCTGCCATGTGGCTTTAAATGCTGAACAGACTTGATATTTGCTGTTCTGTGTGTTAGAGGGCCATGGTAGTCTGTCAGGAACGGGAGAGAGAGAGAGAGTCAGACCGCCCATAGCAGGGCGGGAGACAGATTGGAACAACAGAACCAGGAGAATGAAGAGATCACAAGCCTGGAAATGAAAACAACATTTAAAAGGCACTGGAATTCACATTAATTTCAAATTAAGTGACGAATCTCATTCTAAAGAAATAATGAAGGGCCCTTCTTCTAAGCAGAGAGATGGCTGAGGAGCAGGGGCCTGTAGGCTGTATACATTTTCTACTGAGTCATTGGATTGGTTGATTTTGCTTAAGATTTCTGCATGTACTTTTCGGAAATTAATGATAGTAATTTAAAGCTAGAAGGGGCGTTAGAAATTATCTAGTCCACCGCTGCCAGACTTTAAAGATTGGGAAACCAAGCCCTGCAGAAGGGACTTGCCCAGTCCTTCATGAGAAATGATTAATATTCTAAAATCAGTTTCCTATATTTAGAGGCATTCATTCAAGTCAGTTGCATCCATGCTCACTTACATTCACCTGCAAATTAAAATAGTTGAATTAATAATTATTATTAATTATTATTAATTAATAATTAAAATTAAAGTAGTTGAAGCTTAAAATTTTTGAGCTGGTAGGGATCTTGTCTAACCCCTTGTTTTATGGATAATATTAATAAGAGCAAAAAAATAATCACTAGCATTTATAAAACTTTATATATATATGTATGTATGTATATATACATATATATATACATATATATACATATATATACATATATATACATATATATATACATATATATACATATATATATACATATATATGTATATGTATGTATATGTATATAAAACTCTCTAAGGTTTGCAAAAGCCTTGAGAGGTGATTTAATTTTCACAAAGTCACACAGGTCCTTGGAAATCAAACAGAGATTTGGACCCAGGCTTTCTGACTCCAGCCCCCCCTTCATCCGGTAATGCCAATTACAATGGGCTAGTTACAGAGTTCAGCTCAGGCTGGATCTGTACTGGTAATGATACATTCAACTAGCATTTATTAAGCACCCGCTGTACCAATTGCAAGTGCAAGGCACTGTACCAGTTGCTGGGGATGAAAAGATTTTTTGTTTTGAAGACAAGCCCTGACCTTGAGGAGCTTCCATTCAATCATTTAGAGCAACTTATTATCAATAAAGAAAGCTGGTGCCATAGAAAGTGAGGTGGCAGTAGAATTTTTATTAATTATTCGTGCATTCCAACCAGCTTTTGGTTATGGTTTCCATTTTGTGAGTCAGATTCCAAAAAAGACAGTATTGATTGTAGACCGCCATTCCAAATAGGAGCCCCCAGCCATAGCCAAGTACAACTTTCTAGAATATATATCAATTATAATACCCTTTTTGGGGTGATATAAGTAAATTAGGGGGCGTGGGAAAATGTACCTGTCAGATCTATGGAAAGGGAAAGAGTTTATGATCAAACAAGAAATAGAGAAGATTATAGAAATAAAATAATTTTGATTACAGGAAATTAAAAGGCTTTTGCATAAACAAAACTAATGCAACCAAAATTGGGAAGAAAAGAGGAAAATGGTGGGGGGCGTTGCAGCGGGTTTCTCCGATAAAGGCTTCATCTCTCAAATATATAGAGAACTGAGCCAGATTTATAAAAGCAAGAGCCATTCTCCAATTGATATATGGTCAAAGGATGTGAACAGGCAGTTTTCAGAAGAAGAAATCAAAGTTATCAATAGTCACATTAAAAAATGCCTAAATCACTACTTATCGGAGAAATACAAAAACAATTCTGAGGTACCAGTTCACACCTATCAGATTGGCTAACATGACAAAAAAGGAAAATGACAAATGCTAGTACGGGCTTGGAAAAATTGAGACACGGATGCACTGTTGGTGGAGTTGTGAACTAGTCCAACCTTTCTGGAGAGCAATTTGGAGCTATGCCCAGAGAGCTCTAAAACTATGCATACTCTACTAGGTCTGTATCCTAAACAGATCAAAGAAAAGGGGAAAGAACTTATTTGTGCAAAATATTTATAGCAGCTATTTTTGTGGTAGCAAAGAATTGGAAATCAAGGGGATGCCCGTCAGTTGGGGAATGGCTGAGCAAGCTATGGTATGTGATTGTGATGGAATATTATTGTGCTATAAGAAATGACCAGCAGGGTGATTTCAGAAAAACCTGGAAAGATTTACACGATGCATAGTGAAGTGAACAGAACCAGGAGAACCGTATCCACAGTAACAGCAATATTGTACAGTTATCAACTGTGAAAGACCTGGCTATTCTGATCAAGACATTGAGCCGATGCAGTTCCAAAGGACCCATAATGAAAATTCTGTCCACCTCCAGAAAGAGATCTGATGAACTCTGAACTCAGATTGCAGCAGACTTTTTAAGAATTTTACTTTTTCTTTGTGTTTTCTTCTGCAACATGACTAATATAGAAATATCTTTTGTGTGACCTCACATGTATCAAAATCAAATTGCTTACTTTCTCAAGGAGGAGGGAAGGGTGAAAAGGAGAGAGAATTTGGAACTCAGGATTTTTTTAAATGATGGTTAAATTTTTTTACATGTAATTGGGAAATGTTTAGTGAAATAAATAAAAATGTTTTTAAAGTTATCATGCCCTTTTTTTTTCTTTTACACCATCTTCTTCTACTTCCTAAAAAGGAATATGCTTCTAACCATGTTCTGCGGATCATTCAAACGGAAAATCCCCCTAATGAATTAACACTCTTGAAATGTACACTCCTTGCTGTTTTCAGGTTATATTTTGCCAGCCGGCTGTTGAATCTGATCCATGTTCAGCTTAACCACGGGTGTAAGTTGCTGCTCAGACATGGAGAGGAACCCCTGGCTTTGCCCACAGATGTGCGTTCAGCGCTGAATGCTCATCGTTAGAGAGCAGCCAGATTCTTTGACATGTGGACCACACGTGACTGCATCATGAAACATACCCGTAATCCTCTTGACATTTCTCATGCCCTCTGTTCAAAAGGCATATTTCAGCCTTCTTCCTGGCCCACCTTCTTCCCATATCCCCACAGGCTCCAGTGTAGCAGTAGCCAAAGAAAAGATGCGTGGAGCTTGTCCAGTTGGGTTCTCCATCTACTAGTGTCTAACTCTGTCACTGTTACTTGAGAAATCTCATTGTCTGGAGGAATCAGTTGCCAGATTTGGAGCTCATGGGATTCCATAGTGTCTGCCAGACCCTTTCTCCCTTCTTCCCCTCCGCCTTCCCCTAAAGCCTTCTTGGTTTCACAGATTTGGTTTTTGTTGAAAAAAATGATACTGCCCAAAGGGACACGGAAAATGCAAAACCAGCCTTTTAAATGTTCTTTTGTGTTTTAATTGCCTTTGCTGTTTTCTCAAAAGAAGGCTTGGACGGGACCCTCTGCCACGTGCAGGGAACTTTACAACATCTCCCAAGCACGAGTTTTTAACTCCCATTCATTACCTTTTGAACCCTGATGCCAGGGGGAACCAGATGCAGAAGGCTCTTCACTGGGCCCTAGATGAGGAACCACTCCTCTGCTGCCCCTTCACCTGTGTGTAGGCGCGGAGAGGTGGGCCATGCCTGCCGTCATGTCTCTGGGGAGACTGAGGCTGCAGGATGGCTTTTGAGTTTGGTAGTCCTGAATTGCAATAGGGCTGAACCCAATTGGGTGCCTGAGGTGAGTCCATCACCAATATAGCGAGCCCTTGGGAGCGGAGGGGCAAACCAGCCCGAGTCAGAAATGGAGCAGGTCAGAGTTTCTGTGTAGATTGGCAGTGGGATCGGATCCATGAGTGGCCCACTGAATTTCCAGCCTAGGCAAGAGAGGGAGACAGTCTCAAAAAAGAAAAAAGAAATGGTACGTTGTTCCCTTTCTGGTGTCTTGAAAAATTACCCAGTGCTTTCAAACTGTCATTGCCTCCAGAACAGATTTCAGCAGTTTTCTGCCGTGCCATTGCTGCTACATCCTCCAAAACAGGCCTTCAGGATCCTGGAAAGAGCCAAAACGCTTAGCTCTAGAGTCCTTGAGACCAGGCGTGCCCATTTGCACCCTGGCTGCCCTCCTCCCAGTTTACCTCTGGAAAGGGTTTATCAGTGGACTGGTGGCTGCCCTAGTGAGTTCTACTCACTGTCCCTGTGACATCCCAGCTATAAACACGCTTCCCTGTCTACTCTTCTCCTACTCCTTCTTCCCTATTGAGATCAGGCACCATCTTGCCTTTGTTTTCTAATCCCCAACGCTGGGCACAGTGTAAGCACTTAATAAATGATTTTTCATTGATTTGTTTCTTTTTTGTGCAATTCATCTGGTCCAGCCATTCTTACAAAATTTATCACCTTAGCAGCTGTTTCTGCTTTTCACATAGAATGGTGGGGACTGAGTGGGAAGTATCTAAATGCAGTGGTTCTACCGTCCAGGGTAATGAAAGGAGAGACGTTTTGGTCTGTTTGTTGACCTATTTCCCATCTCATCTATAATGACGTGGCCTGCTTGAGTCTCACGCCAGCCTTCCAGCAGATCCATTTTCTTCCCAGTGTTCTTCATAATTTTCCAAAACAAAACAGGTTGTGAATTTTCACCATCCTCCATGATATTTCACAGATGAGTTCATATTGTCAACCAGATTTGTTAACCCTTGGCCCACATGTTTCCCTGCTTAACAAGGAGATCAGGTGTTTGCCAACTGGCTTTGTTCCTTGTCTTTTCCTGCCTCTTTATCATGGTACTTTATGCCAGTTTTACATCTAGAGGGAATGGTACCAGTGTCCTTTCCTTTAGCCATTTCCCATTTTTTTTTTTGGCCTCAGTAGCTCATTTAAGTGGGTCAGATTGGAGCTATCATAATTGCCTACAGAACAGCCATCTCGCCTTTGTCCTTTCTCCACATTCGGCGTGAGCTTTGACTTAGGCCAAACGGTCTGTGGTCTGCCTGCACGGAGCACTGGTTTGGAAGCCTTCTGCATCAGTAACCAGCGATATCCCGTCTGTTAAGACAGAGTCAGTTTCATTTGGGGGACATTGTTCAGTGCTTATTACGTCTGATTCCTTCCAGCTCTCTTCCTGAAGAAAGAATTCAACAGTTTCATATACAATCCTCTTTTCTGTTGTTTTTTTTTTGGAAGTGTATTGAAATGTTAATGTTAGTTAAATTTGTAATAATTTTTAAAAGATTCGTGATACACAGGCATGAACTTTCTGAGGAGTCTATAACCATTGACCTGTTCCATTTCTAAATCCCAAACTATGCTGAAAGTAGCCAATATTTGAGAAATATTTGTTAAACGAAGGAGCTGATGGTAGGTCTAGCCAGACATTCCAGCCTGTAACTGTTCATTTCTACAAATTTGAGGGGGTGATTTGAACTAGTAATCTTTTCTTACTCCTGTGGTACCCCAAATTAATATATCAGACTGAATGGACATTGTAGTCTAAGGATTTTAAAGATTTTTAACCCAGGTGTGAAAATTTGCTTAAGGCCTATGTCCTTTACCCAAGGCAAATATTTCCTCAAATAAGCATTTCATATTTAAACAGCTTGGGCCTTTCCAAGTTGAAGCAAAGTCAGAATGAATCTTGGGGCCAGCTTTCATTTCAGAATGAGCATATTACTTTTCTAGGGACAAGATTTCTGGACCATTCATCAACGTTGACAAGATTGGGCTTAATGTTGAAAATTCCCATCCTCTCTCCCCAGGGAGCATTTGTTTCCTGGAGGCAAGGAGCCTCCTTCATCTCCTCTCTGCCTCCCTCCTTGCTCCATCTGCCCCTGCAGTCAGGATCCTAGGAAGCCACCAGCTGTCACCCTTGTATATGGGCCTTCAGAAATGGTGTTATCCAAATGCTGGAGCAGCCACAAGGGTCAGCTCCGCCAGTGTGGTAACACAACACTGCCTTGGCCAGGCGTCCCATGTGGGCAGCTAGGTTGGAATGGGGTCTGGAAGGCTTTGGTGTGAACACCGCTTCTGCCATTGCTAGCTATGAGAGCAGGGGCCAGTCTGCTTCTTCCCCTGGGCCTTGGTGTCCTTATCTATAAAATGAAAAGGTCAAGCTAAATAGTCCCTGTGGTACCGTTAGGTTCCAATCCTGCAATGAATTAATTAATGGATGAAAAAGCATGCTTGGCCTTGGCTGGCCTTCTCCAGTAGGAGACCCCAATAAGGAGTTTCCTTCACAGCTCTGGTCCTCAACCTGTGAGTGGACTGGCTAGGCTTGTGAAAGGCTTAGTCTGACCTTTTAATGAGATTAGAAAATGCATTGATTTTCATATTGGTGTAGAGTATGGGAGGGGAATTCACAGGCAGTGAGGCTGGAAAGATACATCAGGAGCAGGTTGGATACTAGTCGTGTGATCCTGGGCAAGTCACTAAACCGCTCTCTGCCTCAGTTTCCTCACTTGTAAAATAGGGGTCATAATAGCACCTACTCCCAGGATGGTAGTCAGGATTAAATGAGATAATAAATGTGAAGTGCTTTGCAAACCTTCAAGTGCTATGCAGATTTTCAGATTTGGGTGGTGAGGGAGCTTTTTGCCAGAGGCCCAGAGGTAAAAGGAGTGGCATGTACAGAGAACATAAGAGGCTCCATTTGCCTGGAAGGAGCATGTAGGAAATAAAGGTAGTGGGAGCTGGCTCCTCAGCTCCAGTCCTGACTGTCCTACTAAGACTCTGAGGCCTGGTCCCCAGTTTCCTCACATGTAGAAAGATGGAGTTTAGCTAGGCAGCCTCCTCAGCCCCTCCCAGCTCTGAAGTTCTGCAGTTGGGTGGACAAGTCCAAAACTCGTTATTATTAATATCTTCCAATGACGTCATGTTTCCTGGCCGGGATCCACTTAACAAAGCCTGTCTGCCAAGAGGTCTGTATAACTCCGCAGGGGCTTAGTAACGGCTGTCTTTTTAGATGGGAAGCTGCTTCATTTTCTGGAGACATTCAGATTGGGGGGAACTTGGGTCCGTGGCTGGCCCCAGACCCTTTCAGTCAAGGCCGTCAAGTTCCCCCTGAAGCCGGCATCTCCCCAAGCTTCTCCCTGCCCCCAGATCAGCTTCAGCAGCCTCAATGACAGCCAGCTAAAGGCAGTGTGGGACAGTGGATAGAGCAGCAGACATGGAGTCAGGAATCCACCAAGCCATACATATTTATTAAGCACCTACTATGGGCTGCCTAGCTTTAAAATATTATCTCAGTGATCTCATTATCACAACATTGGGAAGACTGGAAAGATATCCCCAGCCTCTGATTGGAAAGTGGACTATGGGGAGCAGAGGAGACAAGAGGTGGCATGCTGGGCACCCCCCAAAAAAAACCCCACCACCTCATTCACTTTGTAATTCTCTGCATGCTTACATATGCACACTTTTTGTCTCCTAAAAATTTCAGCTTCTCAAGGGCAGGGGCCATTTCATGTGTGTCTTGCTTTCCCCAGCACCTAGTCTAGTGCCTGGTACGTCTTAGGTGCTTAATAAATGCTTGTTGGTTGAGATATTTAGTCAGAGGTTGGCAGTTGTCACTGATCCATGAGAGCGATTTATCTCAGAAATATCGGTGCCTGAACCTTCTTCCCTTTCCCTTAGATGGGAGGGAGACCTGCGCATGACTTGGGAACATTTTGCTCCCTCAGATCTATTTAGCCTCGAAAAAGGCAGATCCTTTTTTTATCTTGCAGAATCTACCCTTTATGACTGGTCTGAGAGGGAGGGAGCTGATTTCCATCTTAGTTACCACCAGACCCACATCCAGAAAGCAAAATAAATACCCAGACTCCCAAGTAGGAATTACTGCTCCTTCCAGGACAGATGGAGTCAGGGATTGGGGGGGGGCGCCTAGATGTCATGGGATCGTGGGTGCCCTTGCGCCAGGAGAGGGGGTCCTGGGTGTCTTTGATAGGATGCCTCATTGATGAGCTTCCTTGTCTTGCCTTGGTTCTAATCAGATAAGTCAGTCAACAAGAGTCCAGCCTGAGGCTCGTGGGAATGGGGGGAGGGGGGGCGGGTAGGAGACAAAGGAAAACCCTAGAAGAGGGATGAGGACGGCATCTTGGGTCCGGGTGTGTCAGGGAAGTGTGCACTGGCAGCCGAGCCAAGGGAAGGCCAGGGGAGTCTGTCACAAATCCTGGGGCAGTGTTTATAGGGCAGGCCACTGTCCCATTTCATCTCCTCAAGAGCCCTGGGAGGGAGGTGCTCTTTCTTAGCCCTCTTTGAGGGTCACGCGGGGCAGGACTTGAACTCTACTGCACCGCTCACCTGCCCAAGAGGTGAGGTTTCGAAGGTGCTGGGATTTAGGGTCAGAGGTTAGAAGGGAGAGTATTCCAGGCATGGGAAACAGCCTGGAAAGGGACGGAGAAGTGGTGAGGTGCGACCAGACAGACCCTGGTGAGTGTGGAAGGGTCTTGTGTGTTAGACTGGGAAAGGAGAGAGAGTCTGCGCTGGGAGGGGGGTTACCTGCCACGCGGCGTTTTCTGTGCAGTCCTAAAGGTGACAGAGTCACTGGGGGTTAGTGAGGGGTGGAGGGAGCGGGGACAAGGTCAGACCTCCACCTTAGGAAAATCACGAGGGCAAAAAGCAAACAGTCAGTGGATTTGTGTTGTCAGGAGAGAGAACATGTTGTGCCGATTATGAGGATAACAGCACAGATGCGAAATGAAGACGACAAGGTAGTTAGGGAGGGGGGCTGTGGAGAAGCCTAAGAGGAGGATTCTGGCCGACAGGACAGGCTGCATAGGGCCCTACCTGGGGGCTTCATTCTCTGCCCTCCTCCCCTTCTCCCTCCCCCCCCTTTCATCTCCACCTCCCCCACTCACCTCCCCTGCCCTTCTCCCTCCCCCTCCCTCCTCCTCCCTCTTCCCCTCTCATCTCCCCCTCCCCCACTCATCTTCCCCTCCCTTTCTCCCTTTCCCTCCCCCTCTCATCTCCCCCCTCCCTCTTTGTCTCTCACTTTGCTCCCCCTTCTCCCTCTTATTCCAGTTCTCTTGCCTTCCCCCCATTCTCATCCTCTGTCTTGCTCTTGCTCCCCCATCGCTTACTCTTCTCCCCTTTTTCTGTCTGGGGTCCCTCCATCCTCTCCAGCCTGACACTTTCTTGCCAAGGGGTTAAACCTGTCTCCGTCACTTCATGCCTGTAGATAAGGTTGCCGGAGGCATCCCGGGAGCGGAGCGCGTGGGTGACGGCTCCCAGCGCTGACAGCTGGGTGTTAGGACCCGTTACAATGTGATTATCGTGTCACGGGGGTCTGCTGTGATCCTGCATCGGGAGAGGCCGGCTCCCTTTGCTTGCGGCCCCGCTGATGGAGCTGGCCGCCACGCAAACTGCTGCGCGCTTAGGGATAGAGGCAGGGCAGGGAACCCCTGGAAAAGCTGCCGTGGGGGGCCCAGCCTCTCGTGAAAGCTGCAGGAACGCCCCGTGTGCCCACGGGAGGCCCTTCTTTCTGACCTTCCCGCCCCCGTAACAGTATCGGGGCTAATCTACCGTCAGCGTCACAAGTAACAAACCGTGTGGTAGAGGATTTCTGTAATGTCCTGTTGGAAGTTTCCATGTGGGGTCCCCCTCTGTCAGAGGTGCTTCACCTTTTGGACCCCTTAAACATGCAGACCACTTCTCAGAATAATGTCTTGGAATGCGTGAAACAGAAATACATAGGATCAAAGAAAATTAATTACGCTCAAATGCAGTCATCAAAGCACTTTAAAAAACCAGGTTCACAGGCCCCAAGTTAATAACACCTGCCCCAGGTAAACACTTTAGAAAAGACTTCCTTTCCCCCTTGTTGTTATTAATCAATCAGTGAATCTACAGGCTTTTATTTAAGGATCAACCATATGCCAGGCACTGTGCTAAATAACACTGAGGAGAAAAAGGAAGGACTGAATTAGTCCCTGCCCTCAGGCAGCTTACATTCTAACAGGTCGCAGAACACCTACATACATATAGATATATACAGAATCCAAACAAAATGGGTACAAGGAGGCTTTGGGAGGGGATGTCCTGCCGCAGGGAGGACTGGGAAAGGCTCCTGCTGAGTCTTGAAGGACATTTCTTGGGAGCTTTAAGGTCATGAAGGAAGATCTTGGAATAAGAAGATTCAGAGCTGACCTTAGGGGTATCTAGTGCAACGCCTTCATTTCCCACATGAAGACATTCTAACCCAGGGGCAGTGACTTTCCCAAGGTCTCATGTACATAACAAGAATCACAGCCAGTGTTTGAACCTAAGTGGTCAGACTCTGAATCGGGGGCTATATTATGCTGCCTTAATATTGTGTTGCTGTTCAGTGGTTTCAGGCCTGTCCAACTCTTTGTGATCCCATTTGGGGTTTTCTTGGCAGAGATGCTGGAGTGGTTGGCCATTTCCTTCTCCAGCTCACTTTACAGATGAGGAAACTGAGGCAAACAGGGTGAAGTGATTTGTCCAGGGTCATACAGCTCCTAAGTGTCTGGGGCCAGAGTCTTGAAAATGAGTCTTCCCAACTCTAGGCCTGGTGTTCCATACACTGCACCACCTAGCTGCCGCTTTAATAATTGCCCAGCGAGTATCTTAAGCAGAGAGAGTCTAGTACCCTCTGATTTTGAATCTCTCCATCGCTATATAATGTAGCTGATGGGGATGTAGTTAAGCCTGTTCATTATAACAGGTATGAAGGGTTTCTACCCAGTGTGTAGCACCTCACATTTTTCACACAAGGTGAAAGGCCAGATCACTCTCCCTAATGCAGGTCTGCCATGCGGTGATGCTCAGACTCTCTCAGGGACCTAAGGGTAACTTGATTTGGGGGGAAATACACTTCCTCTACTCATCCTGTTAGCTCATGTGCCCCTATCAGCATGCTTCTATTTACACAAACACAGCTGCTCGTAATGATGACATATTTAGATCTTAACTATATGCTTTTCCTTAGCAGTAAGACAAAAAACAGGTCAGTAGAATATCAGAGTTACTCCCATAAGACAAATCTAGGGAATAATAAACATATTTGCATAAGTCTGGGTCACACTGCCCCGCTATATATTCAGTATCTCTTGGGGAGAGTGGGAAGACTTACATGAACCTAAATCACAATTCTGAAATGATAAACCTCAGGGTTACCTTTCTTTCTCGGGAACTGTCCATAAAAATTCCTTGAGGAATGTAGCTTTTGTGTTGAAAATTGCTTTCACTGCTAAGTTAAGCTGATTCTTGCTGTGTTCGACTAACATCCCTCTTTTTTGCAGTAAAAAATCACTGAAATTTTTTGAGTCAAGGACAATGCATACTTTTCAGTCCACATTTGTTAGAGTCATTTGGGGAGGTTTTCAATACATTTGCTGTAGATTTGCATATCTGATGATTCCCCAAACCTTAATGACTGTCTTGTCTCCCCCCACCTTCTGTTGACGTTTCAGATTTATGACTGATGCAGCTCGCCGGGAGCAAGAGTCTTTGAAGAAGAAAATTCAGCCCAAACTTTCCTTGACTCTGTCCAGCTCAGTGTCTCGAGGGAATGTGTCCACTCCACCTCGCCACAGCAGCGGAAGCCTTACTCCACCGGTTACCCCTCCCATCACCCCCTCCTCTTCCTTTCGCAGCAGCACACCAACAGGTAAGTCCTCGTGGCTCCACTCAGGCCCTGCCATATTGAGAGAAAGGACACGCCACTCTCTGGGTACAAGTTTCGTGGGCTACGAGTTGCTTCTCTTTTCCCCTAAGAAAAGAGTTCACTGCCTGTCAATTTGTTTGTCCCCCATTCCATTCCATTAAGTTCCGCAGACATTTATTAATTGTCTCCTAGTTCAAAGATCCTCTTTTTAGTGCTTTGACTACAAAGGTAAACATTACACTATGCCTGCCCTCAAGCAGCTTATGGTCAACAGAGGAATACAACATGAACACAGGACACTGACAGAAATATAATGGAAAGCTAAATCAGCATCAGATATTTTGGGTTTTGTATTTATAATCAGATCTTATGTGGGGAGGAGTGATTCCTTCAGGTCAGGAAAAAATCATTGGACTTTGACTCAGTTCCTGAAAAAGTATAAAGGATGGACCACATTCTTTTCTTTTTGGGTTGACTATCTGCCCTATAACGATCATTAGTTAGCATTATATATAATGCTTTACAATTATTACTTCATTTGACCCTCATGCCACCCCTAAGGGGTAGATGCTGTTACTAACTCCATTTTTCAGATGAAGAAATTAAGGCAGAAAGCATTTGAATGACTTGGCGAGGGTCACGCAGCTGGTGTCTAAGGCTGGATTTGAACTCAGGCCATCCTGACTGCAGACCCAGTGCTCTGTCTGCTGTGCCACTGCTGCCTCATGATTTGAGAAGTCATAATGTTGTTACGGTTTTAGGTGAGATTTTTTTTAAAAGTCAGTGACAAGAAACAGTGCCCATATCTAGACTCTGTTTGCTAACAGACTTTGCCAGAGTTTTTTAATTGAGATTATTTAACCGACAGACTGATTTGGCATCCAGTAGAAACAGGCTCTGTTGGCTTGGTCAGATGTTATCTTCAGTCAGTCAGCTGGTCAACCTGCAAGCATTTATGAAGCACCTGTCGTGTGCCAGGTATTATGTGACACAGATACAGATACAAAGGATGAAATTATCTCTGCTTCTCAAAGAGCTTGCGTTCTAATGGGTGAGGTATTTTGACATACACCATACATACTGAATTAGTATAAAGAGAGTAAATACAAAGTGGTTAAATACATTAATTAGGCAGGGGAGGGTACTTACACGAAGCTGGGGGGCTACAGGAAAGTCTTCAAGTAGAAGGTTGTGTTTGAGCGGTGTCTCGAAGGAGGAGAAGAATCCACTGAGGTGGAGGTGAAGAGGGACGGCATTCCAGGCATGAGGCTCAGTTATTGCAAAGACACGGAGACGGGAAATTGAGTCCTGTGGAGGCGCAGAGACAGCACCAGATGTGGGAAGGAGAAAAAAATCCTTTTGTTATCGTTTATTTCCAGGACTTGCTGAGTTCTGCCTGTTAAAATGAGACCGTTTTGGTCCAACCAGCTCTTTCTGTGTTGCCTTAAGTCAACCGTCCCTCCATAGTGTATCACATGAGTTCATGGGTCTAAAGGTGATATTGGTGGAATGCGCATCAGGTGTTCTCATTGTCTGATTGCCCAGTCCCGGTTCTGGCCTGGAGGCATCGACCTTCTCTTTCCTTGGGGCTGAACTACAAATCTTCAGGGGTATAAACCTTTTGACATTTTTAGGAAGCAACAAGTGTTCAATGATTCCTTTGTAGCCGTAACCAGGCGTGGAGATCGGGTTGTGAACCACATCTTGCAGGGGAAGGGACTGGAAGTTAAAAGACCTGGGTTTGGATCCCAGCTCTGCCACCTGCTCTGTGTGGGTGACTTTGAACAAGGCACTTCCTCTCCTGGGCCTCAGTTGCCTCCTCTGTCAAAGGAGGGGCTTGGATTCAGCCCAGATGACATCCTGGGCTGCTTCTTGCTTGAAATGATGGACCTTATGAAATGACAGGCCTATCCACACATATGGAGTCAGAGGACCTGGGTTCAGATCCTGGCTCTTATTACAAATAACTTATGTGACCCTAGCCAAATTGCTTTACCTCTGTGGGCCTCAGTTTCCTCCTCTGTCAAAGGAGGGGCTTGGATTCAGTGGTCTGTGAAGTCCTTCCAGTTTGAGATCAGGGATGCTGTGACCACTTATGGTTGGAATGTTTTTAATGTTTTTGCTGTAAAACATTAAGTCTTGTGTGAATGATCCATTTTTAATCTTGGTGACACAATTATTCCACATTATAGCAGGACTTTTCTACAATTATATCCTACCTTTTTGGATGTGTCATTATGGCTATCCCTTCCTCCTTACTTGCCAACCCAGAACTAACTCAAATTCTAGGGAAGAAAGAAGAAGAAGCAAGGTATGTAAAGACAGAAAAATCAGGTAGGCCAAAAAAGATGGAGTGAAGGAGGAGGAGGTTCAGAAGAAGAAGAAGATGATGATGATGATGATGGAGAAGATCATGATGATGATAGAAGAGAAGAAGATGATAATGATGGTGGAGGAGAAGATCATGATGATGATAGAAGTGAAGATGATGATGATGATGGAGGAGAAGACCATGATAATGACAGAAGAGAAGGAGAAGATGATAATGATGATGGTGGTGGTACAGGAGAAGATCATGGTGATGATGAGGGAACAGAAAAGAAGAAGGCAATAATGATGGTGGAGGAGAAGATCATGATGAGGAAGAGGAAGAAGAAGAAAGAAAATGAGAAAGAAGGAGGAGGAGGTTAGTGAAATATTTTTCAAATACACAGCAGTGAGCTGATGGAATTTCAGAAGGGGACACAGACAGGTGTTGGTCCCACAGTATTAAATTTAATAGACACTCTTTTTTCCCGAAAAACCAAGCTGTACATAAGAGACTCGTGTTTCACTTGTAATCCTCTTTTTTTCCACTGAACCTGTGGTTTCATTGGTATAGGTCACCCCCAGCCAGGAACTCCTCTCCCAAAGCAGATGAGCACCTTCTCTGCAAATGAAAGTCTTCAGGAGGTGGCCAGGGCACTTAGAAGTGCATGTTTTGCCAAGGGTCACAGAGTCAGCCTGGGTCTGAGCTGGGACTTGAATCCAGATGTTTTTGACTGCGAGTCCAGCGCTTTCTCTCTCTCTCCCCCTCCCTCCCCCCCTTTCTCTCTCTCCCTCCCCCCTCCCCATATTATACTACCTCACTATGATCCTCCTTTTTCATCCTTTTGGCATTGAAATGCTCATGTTTGATATTTGTTGTCTTTAAATTTTTTAAGTAAAAGAAAGACTATTTGTAGGGAAAAAAAGGAAAAGTTTATTAAGTTCATCATGAGGACAAGAGAGCTAGAAGGAAGTCCAAGCTAAACCAATAGAGCAGAACTGATGAAGTAAAAAGGAGGAGAACCTGAGAGATGGAAATTGGCACCATCTTGGGAAGAATGATGATGGTGCATCAAGGTGTGGTGAAGGCATTGAAGATGATGGGAAGGCAAGATGAAAAGGAAAATGCCCAAAGTAAAAGATTTCAGTCTGAGTGATGTTTATGACTCATAAATTCCTGGGGTGGGGCTTTGGTCTTCTTAATGAGCTTTTGGACTAAGCTTGAAATGCCTGGGCAACTGCAAAAATATCCTTTCACAGAAATCCTTCCATTTCATACACACACACAAGTAGCATTTGCATCAATTTCCCTTTGGTACCCTTGGTACCTGAACTTTGGCTCCAGAGTAACTTTGTATTGGTTTAATATTCTTGTTTCATAATATGGAGCGATGATAACAGAGATGGCACTGTACTTCCCCCCAACAAGAGTGTGATTTTACTGTAATTACCTTCTGATTGGATAAATTTTGTGTTGGTTGCATGATTTTTGGAGACCATGGTTGAATAGGAAGCCCATTTCCTCTTCACCATGGTCCACCGTGCACCCATTTCTTTGGGTCTCAAGAATTGCTGATGGGTCTTCCTTTAGATCCCTACAGTAGATGTGAGAGCTGTAGACAATGAGGACAATATGGCAGAGGGCACAACTCTGTTTCAATGAAATCACACTCACAGACATAAATGTAAGAACTTGAAAGGGAGCTCGAAAATCATCGGGGAAAGTCCCTTTATTACATTGATGAGGAAGCGGAGGCCTAGACCAGGTAATTCACTGAGTACTTTGCAGTGCAATTGGCCTTCCAAAGAGTTGAGAACACGCACCTCCCAACCTCCCTGCAGAAGGGGACTTGGAATGCATAAGAGTGTATATTCTACATCAGACGACAAAACGGAAAACAAGAGGATTCGCAAACTGAATATGCATTTCTAATTAGAAAGGCAACAGATTAATAAATCTAAAACAAGCATGCAAGAGGAGATACTGAAAATTAGAGAAGAAATAGAGAAGCAGGAAGCCAAAAAAATCCAATGGTAAAACTAAAGGCTGGTTCTTTGAAAAGACTAGTAAAATGGATAAACCTTTAGCCAAATCTGATTAAAAAGAAGGCAAAAAATAAAATCCACAAAATAGCAGTAAGCAAGGTGAAGTCACATCAGATCTAGAAGAAATAAAAAGAATAATCAGAACCTGTCACATATGCTAACAAAACTAAGAACACAAAAGAAATAAAACACGAACTTCAAAAATATAAATTATGAAAACTAACAGAAGACCAAATAGACATCCTAAATAAACAACACAGTCTCAGAAAAGGCAATAGAATTAAGCTATAAAGGAACTACTAAAGAAAAAGCTTCTGGGTCCTAATGGATTCCATCAGATCTTTCAAAGAGATGGTTCAGCGGACAGAACATTTAGCCCAGAGTCAGGAAGGCCTGTGTTCATATTCCAGTCACAAACACTTACTAGCTGTGTGATCCTGGGCAAGTCACCTGTGCCTTGGTTTCCTCATCTGTCAAATGAGGGTAATAACAGTACCTGCCTGACAAGTTGCCGTGAGGCTCAAGTCAGATAATATTTGTGAAGTGCTTAGCACGAAGGCACTATACAAACGCTCATTTCCTTCTCCTTCCCACCCATGCTGTACACATACTACACAAATTATTCTCTAAAATTGAGAAAGAAAGCACCC